TCACGGTCGAGGTGGCAACGTCGACACTGAATGGGGCGTTGGGAGACGTGCTGAACGCCATGGGAGATGCCCGGGGTGGGCCAGGCTGCGGATGCTCAGGAAAGCCCTCTCCCCGCAGGAGCCACCCCGGCACAGCCAGGGCTCACCTGGGCTCCAGCTCAGGGGTTCGAGGTCCAGGTCTTCCCTGGGAGGCGGGTCCGGGCGTGGGCCGCTGCCTCCTCCTGTGGGCCTGGCACGGAGCCCGCAGCCCCCACCCACCTGGGAGAGCTGCAGGGCCCTGCATGGTGGGAGGCGGAGGCAGCCAAGCGGGGGGACAGGGCCCCTTGGTGGGAGAGCCTGCGGGCAGGACTGGGCAGGGACGGCGGCTTCCCACCCTCTTCCTGCCTCTTTCGGGACTCCGGGGAACGGTGGGCACTGGAGAAGAAGACTCCCTGGCTTCCTCAGCAATCAGCTCTGGGAGCCCAGGCGCCAGGACTGGTGACATCTCTGAGGAGCGGGCGCTCCACCTCAGCCTCCGGGTGCAGTGGTTCATGCCTGTAATCCCAGCACTTAGGGAGGCCAAGGCGGGTGGATCACCTGAGGTCAGGAGTTCGAGACCAGCCTGGCCAACAGGGTGAAACCCTGTCTCTATTAAAAATACAAAAATTAGCCTGGTGTGGTGACAGGCACTTGTAATCCCTGCTACTGGGGAGGTTGAGGCAGCAGAATTGCTTCAACGTGGAGGTTGCAGCGAGCCAATATCGCAACACCGTACTCCAGCCTGGGTGACAGAGTAAGACTCCATCTCAAAAAAAAAAAAAAAAAAAAAGGGATTGTCACCACAACCCAGGAGTTTCCTGTTCCTGGAAGATGCCCACAATCAGCAGGGCAACTGGGAGCTGAGGGAAGAGGGCGGAGAACGTTGGTGGGCAGTGTCCTGGCCCGGCCACCTGTGAGTGCCAACCCTGCCACTGCTGGGCCCCACCCAAACCAGTGACCACCTGAGCAGAGAGCCTCTACCCCTGCCAAGACCCTCAGGGAGGCTCCCCACACTCCAAAAACCTCACACACCCAGGGTGGTCCTGCCACAGACCCTGCGTTGGGAAGACAGGGCCCTGGTGACTGTCCCTTGGAAGACCCCGATGTCTAATATACAGGGAGGGGTTCCTGGAGGGGCCCATGTCCAGCAGCTCCTCATGGGGTTCACGTTGTGGTTTTACATTTTTCTTTTCCTGCTCTGTCACCCAGGCTGGAGTGCAGGGGCATGATCTCGGCTCACTGCAAACCTCCACCCCCCTGGTTCAAGCGATTCTCCTGCCTCAGCCTCCTGAGTAGCTGGGATTACAGGTACGCGCCACCGCGCCCAGCTAATTTTTGTATTTTTAGTAGAGACAGGGTTTTACCATGTTGGCCAGGCTGGTCTAGGTCTCTTGACCTTGTGATCCACCTGCCTTGGCCTCCCAAAGTGCTGGATTACAGGCGTAAGCCACCATGCCCAGCTGACTCTTTTTGTTTTTTATTGTTAATCTGGGCTTTTTAAAACAGCTTTATTGAGACTGAGTTCACAAAAACCTACATTTCAGACATGTGCAGCTCCGTAGATTTTTGTGCATTCGGACATGTGGCTATCACCATTCCCAATTTTTTGGCATTTTTATCGCTCTGAAAAGAATCCCACACCTGGCCGGGCGCGGTGGCTCACACCTATAATCCCAGCACTTTGGGAGGCCGAGGCGGGTGGATCACGAGGTCAAGAGATCGAGACCATCCTGGTCAACATGGTGAAACACCATCTCCACTAAAAATACAAAAGTTAGCTGGGCATGGTGGCTCGTGCCTGTAATCCCAGCTACTCAGGAGGCTGAAGCAGGAGAATTGCTTGAACCCAGGAGGCAGAGGTTGCGGTGAGCCGAGATCGCGCCATTGCACTCCAGCCGGGGTAACAAGAGCGAAACTCTGTCTCAAAAAAAAAAAAAAAAAAAGAATCCCACACCTGTCAGCTGCCACCTCCTGTCCTTGTCACTCCCCTCCCCCAGCCCCACGAACCTTCTGTCTGCCTCTACGGATTTCCCTGTTCCGACATGTCACTCAACATGTGGCCGCGGTGCCCGACTCTTCTCACGAAGCGAGTGGGAGAGTTTCAGGCGCTTTCCCTTGGTGGTGCCCTGCCCTACCCCAGGAAGCTGGCTCAGCCCCAGGCCATCCTCTCAGCAAAGACCTCCTGGAGACAGCTCGCCTAGCCTGGGAGGAGGCCTGGGCCACCCGTGCCTGGAGGGGTGCGTGGTGTCCTAGCCGGCTCCAGAGGCCACAGCACTGCCACAGCCCAGCAGCTCCTACACAGCAGGGATTTATTCCTGACGCCCCGGAGGATGGAGCTCCCAGGTCAGGGAGCCAGCGTGGCTAGTGGCTGGTGAGGGCTCATGCCCTGGTTCAGAGACAGTGCCTTCTCTCTGCGTCCTCCAGTGCCGGGAGGGTGAGCGAGCTCTCTGGGGTCCTGCCTCTAAGGGCACAAATCCGCCGTTCACTTCCTGAAGCACCCCTCCATAAGCCTTGTATTCCCGACGTGTGATGTAACCGGGATACGGCGGCGGGGGGGGGGGGCGTGGGGATGGGGAAGAAATGGCCGTGAGAGGCCCTGGGAGCTGACTGGGCAGAAGCTCCAGCTCTCTCCAAAAGACTTCTTTGCACGGTAGGAGGGAGGTCAGCTCTGGAGCCTTCTGATTTGGAATTGCCACGTGGGCTCCCAAAGTGACATTCTGGCACTGGTGGGTGGGGACTGGTGTTGGGGCACATCCCACAAAGCTGGGCTTTGCCTGAGACTCTTGGGGCCTGCACAGGAGGGTACGTACCCCTGGGATGCCCGCAGGGGCCATCTACTCTGCGGGGCAGACGTCCTGCCGGTGGGCACCGCCGTCGAGGGGGAGGAAGTGACTCTCCGGGCCTGACGTGGCCCCACCTGCCTGTCTGAACACCCATGCTCTGCCGGCTCAGCAGCCCCAGCACCCACTTCTGAGCTCTGGGTTCAAACAGAGCTTAATCAGATGGCAGCAACCAAGAGCGTCGCTCCACTGCCCCCAGCCCCTGCCCCCAGCCCCTGCCTCAGCCCCTGCCCCCAGGCCCTGACCCTGCCCACAGGCACAGCCCCTGCCCCTGCCCCAGCCCCTGCCCCCAGCCCCAGCACCTACCGCAGGCCGCCAGATTGCATCCCCCGAAGAGTCGAGGAGCCACAACCACCCCCACCCAGCATGAGGCCGATGCAGCCCCAGATATGGGGACAGGACTCCACAGCCTGACTCAGGCAGAGAGCGGGTTCTTCTCACTAAAGCCCTTTGTCCCAGAGGTTCCCAGGGAACAAGGGGCCGGGATGGGGCCTGGAATCAGATAGAGACCAGGCAGGTTATGGATGGGGGTCCTGAGTCCCCCGCCCCTCCCCACTGTGCTGCCCCCACCCACCAGGGCCCTCTCCACCCCAGGACCCTCTCCACCCCAGGGCCCTCTGCACCCCAGAGCCCTCTCCACCCCAGAACCCTCTGCACCCCAGGGCCCTCTGCACCCAAGGGTCCTCTCCACCCCCAGAACCCTCTGCACCCCAGGGCCCTCTCCACCCCAGAACCCTCTGCACCCAAGGGCCCTCTGCACCCCAGGGGCCTCTGCACCCCGGGGCCCTCTCCACCCCAGGACCCTCTCCACCCCGGGGCCCTGTGCACCCCGGGACCCTCTGCACCCCAGGGCCCTCTCCACCATGGGGCCCTCTGCACCTCAGAACCCTCTGCACCCCGGGGCCCTCTCCACCCCAGAACCCTCTCCACGCCAGAACCCTCTCCACCCCAGGGCCCTCTGCACCCCAGGGCCCTCTCCACCCCAGGACACTCTGCACCCCAGGGCCCTCTCCACCCCAGAGCCCTCTGCACCTCAGGGCCCTCTCCACCCCGTGACCCTCTCCACCCCAGGGCCCTCTCCACCCCAGGACACTCTGCACCCCAGGACCCTCTGCACCCCAGGGACCTCTCCACCCCAGGACCCTCTCCACCCCTGGACCCTCTCCACCACACTAGAACCCTCTACTTCCACCAGCACCCCCCAAAAATCTCAGGCTCCGGACACTCGGAGGCACCTCCATATGCCCCAGGCCAGGCATCCAGGGTGACCAGCAGAAGGTGTTACAGCCAGAAAATCCAGAGGCACCCATGGGACCCTTGCTTCCCAGGAAAGCTGTGGTTGGCATGGGAGCCTGTGGCCCCACATAGCCCCTGCTGGAAGCACCTCCGGGGTTCCAAAAATGGGGTCACATTTGCAGAACCCAAACCAGAGAACCCTGACTTAGGACTTTTGTGTTTTTGTTTTTGTTTGAGGAGTGTCACTCTTGAGGTCCCTGCTGGAGTGCACTGGCGTGATCTCCACCTCCCGGGTTCAAGTGATTCTCCTGGCTCAGCCTCCTGAGTAGCTGGGACTACCGGCCATGCCCGGCTATTTTTCGAATTTTTAGTAGAGACGGGGATTTCACCATGTTGGCTGGGATGGTCTCGATCTTTTGACCTGGTCATCTGCCCACCTCATCCTCCCAAAGTGTTGGGATTACAGGCGTGAGCCGCCACACCCAACCAATTTAGGACTTTTGAAATTCAGAAAAGAGGAATTTGTGCCAGAAAAGGAGAAAGTCTAGAGCTGGCTAGGAATCCTGTCTGGGAGTGGAGGGCCGGGAGAGCAGCGAGGGGAAGAACCGGGACCCTGGGGACCAGCGCCCCGCGCCAGCAGCTCTCAGGGCCACATCTTGCGGGAGCAGGAGGACCCTGGTGGAGGGTAGGGGCCTGGGGGCTCTAGGAGGGAGGGAGAAGTCGATCAGCCTGGGACTGACACTCCAGTGTCAATGGCCCCGACAGACGTGAGCGGGCCCCTTGCAGCCCTGGCGTCCATCCCTCTCCTGCCTGGCCTGAGAGACCTAGGCCTGCAGCCAAGCCCGGCCAGCCCGCTCGGTGACACCTAGCTGCTCCCACAGTCCAGACACACGCCACAGACCCGGAGCCACTTCCACACCGTTTAATAGAGTCAAGTCACAAGCAGTTGCCTGGGATGGCCGGGGTTTTGTTCCCACGCCCAGTCATCTCCGAGGGCCCCCACCCTGCTCCCCGACAAAGCCTTGCGAAGCTGGAGCGGAGCAGAAGGCTCTTGGGGCGCGGGCCTGTGGGAGGCCGAGGCTGGGACTAAGGAGCAGCAGGCGCGTCCGCAAGGAAGACGGGGTCTCCAGGAGCGTGCAGACCCCACTGCACCCCAGCTAGGGTCCAGGGAACAGAGGGACATACTGGCGGATCCAGGACACGTAGCTCATCACGCGGGTGTACACGCCAGGGTACCTTTCGCCGCAGAAGTAGCCCCAGCTCACAACCCCCACCTGAACCCAGGAGCAATTCCACCTGCACACCAGGGGGCCCCCGGAGTCACCCTGTGGGGAGAGACAGCGCTCAGCAAAGCCCCCGAGGGCACCCACAGCGATGGGGCCGGTGGGCAGGGGACCGAGGAGGCAGGGCAGGGCTGGGGTCCCACCTGGCAGGAGTCCCGGCCCTCACTCCCCGCACACAGCATGTCGTCTTGGATGACCCTGTCGGTGCTGTCCAGGGACTGGTTCCGGTACTCCCGGTCACACTCCTCGTTCCCCACGATGGGGACGTCCACCTCCTGCAGATGGTAGGGTGGGGGCAGCGGCTCTGCAGGGAGAACGTGGACCTGAGCCTCTTCCCTGCAGCAGGGACCTCATTCCGCCCCATGCGGGCCTCCCTGACCTTCAGCAGAGGACGTAGGGGAGCCTCCACCCCCAAATGCTGACCCAGTGGCTCAGTTTCCCCAAGTCCACTAGAGTCGGGACCTGCCCACATGACCTCTGAGGGTCTGGATGCCAGCCCAGTGCCAGGACACAGGGCTCCTCTCAGAAGCAGGGGCAAAGCTGCGGGCTCAGGACCCGGGACAGACCCTCCATCCACAGCGGTGCAGCCCAGCCTCCGCTGCTGTTGGCGGAGTGGAGCCGGGGAATGCTGGGTCTGTAGCAGCAGCTGGAGCTGCCTGCCCAGAGCAAGTCCCAGTCCCTGACGTCTGTTACAGAAGCATCCTGTCCAAAACCCGGGCGCCATGTTCACTCACCCGCAAAGGGGGTGCCAGAGGACAGAGTGAGGGGTTTTCCACAAGACCCAGTCCCCTCATCCCTCCCCAGCAAGCCTCCCTGATACGCACGGTTGCCCGCGATGACACCCCAGCCGGTCACCCAGCAGGTCTTCCCCGAGGGGACGTCCAGGGAGGCAGGCGGGAGCGAGACAGGGTGGACCAGCTCAGACAGCGGCACGGGGGCCTCCAGCTTCAGCAGGGCGATGTCCGCGCCGCCCTGGACAGACAGGCTCTCGTTGTACTGGGGGTGGCGGAGGATCTCGGCCACCTTCGTCCGCTGGTCATCCTCATAGAGCCTCAGCTGCCCGACCTGCACCCTGAACGCACAGGCCTCCAGCTCCTCCCTGGGGAGAGGAGCAGGCGCCTCTCAGAGTGAGGCCGGGCTTCCCCTGCATCCTGGGAGGGGCCCCCGGCACACAGGACACCTGCCTGTCCCCACCCCGACTCCCACCCGCCCGGTGGACGGCAGGCCCCACTCACGGCTCAAGGCAGTGGGCAGCGGTCAGCACCCACTCGGGGTGGATGAGGGAGCCCCCGCAGATGTGCTCCCACTTGTCCATCTTCATGTTGTAGAACCTCAGGCTGACCTGCCAGGGGTACCTGCTGGCTGAGACGTCACAGCCCCCGACAATGCCCACCTGCTCACGCCCCGTGCCCGGCTCTGGGGAGGCAAGGGAGGGCCATGAGGGGCCAGACGAGGGTCCTCCTAGAGCTCGGGACACCAGGACAGACTTGGCAACCAGACGGTCCTCTCACCCCCCAGGGCTGGCGCTCTGAGCCCGGGGCAGGGCAGGGACGGGGTCCTGGGCAGCGGGGGCATTGGGTGGGGTGGACTCGCCTGGGTTCCCGGGCACAGAGCCCCCCAGGCAGGGGAGGGTCAGGAGCAGCAGCCACAGCATCTGAGGGGAGGCCTGCATCAGGGAGGGGGACCCCAAACACCAGCTTCTGGGAACGGAGGCTGAGCTCGGGGATTCAGCTCTGACGGGAGCAGCTCCCTGCGGCACCAGCCTGCACGCACCCCGCCCAGGGCCACCTCACTCAGGGCCCCCTTTATTCTTCCGTCACAGGAAGTGGGCAGAGCCCAGCAGCCCCACTTCGGGGGTTCAAGGCGTAACCATAGAGATCTCCCTTGACTGGGACTGCGGGGGCCTGACGGCCGGCCAGAGGAAGCAGGGACCCCACGTTCCTCCACGGGACAGGGGCAGGGCCAGGTCGGGGAAGGTGCAGAAGGACTCAGGCCGGTGCCGCCCTCAGGGAGCCTGTCCTGTCAGTGACGGACACGGGGCCGATGCTGCTGGTAAGAGATGAAAAGGCAGGTTCAGGGTGGCGCTGGTGCCTGGGCTGGAGGGAAAGGTCTCCAAGAGCCATTGCCCAGTCCTTGAGCCCTGGCCACACCTTCAGCGGCCCTGCTCCTCTGGGCACCAAGCACCACAAAAAGGCTCAAGCACGGTCCCAAAGGACACACAGTTACTAATCAGAAACAGGTTCCAGGAGCCCCAGAACCCCGGCTAGAGAAGAGGGCTGTCAGAAGCCACGGGACTGGGGGGCCCGGCCTTCCGGGAACATGCTGTTATCTAGACCAGCCGGAAAGGACCATGCCGTCCACCGTAAGGCAAGACTTGCGACGGGCGACCCAGGAACGTGGCCCGGATCTCAGCGCTCCTCCGTGCTCCAATGCACATGGCGGAGTCCTCCAAGCAGGTGGAGAGAAGGAAGGGTCAGGGCACTGCAGGGGTCCCAGGGACATGGCCGTCCCCTCCAGTGAATCTCCAAGGTGAGGGAAGAGGAAAAGATGGATCAAGCTGTCCAGACCCGGGGTGGGGTCCCCATCACAGCTGCCCTCACCGCAGTAATGACTCAGCTGCCACGGACCCTCCAGCCCAGCCAGTGAAACCCCCGTCCCTGCTTCTCAGGTCCCCTGGCTCCAGGCACAGCAGGACCCTCCCCGTTGGTTGATCTGGGTCACAGACGGCGCCCACAGCAGGGGAGGTGGGAAGGGCACTGCCTGGGGCTAGAGAGGCTCCTCCCCAGCCGAGGCGCCCAGGGTGGACTCTGTAAACCGGAGAGGGACGGGGGCACTGGTCTCAAGGGAGGACAAGTGTCTGTGCCCCAACTCCATACCTTTCTCGGCCACCCCGCACCCCGAGACTCTGGCCGAGAGCCTCTGAGGCCGGGACAATGACTGTGGATGTCCGTGGGGTGGGCGGGTCGCCAGGGGAAACCACGGGGGGCTGTGGTTTCCAGGCTGTGAAAGGATCAGCAGACAACTGTGGGAATTTCTCTGCGTCTTCCCCTCCCAGCAGCCACTGTGACCCCGGCAGCCCGTGCGGAGCTGCTTGAAGACAGCTGGGGCCCCACTGCCCGGGAGTCGGAGGGTTTGAGAACGTTCTCCAAGTGCTGGAGGAGGCGGGTGCATTTGAAGAAGACTCAGCCGACCCTGGAGGGGAGGGAGCAGGTGTCTCCCAACCGCTTAGGAGGGGCCCGGCCTGTGGGTTGGTTGAGGAGGAGAACCCTGCCGTGGCCTGGAGTTGGACCCCCATTCCTCCTTTTTTTTTTTTTTTCTTTTTTTTTTTTTTTTTTGATGGAGTCTCGCCCTGTCACCCAGGCTGGAGTTCAGTGGCGCAATCTCAGCTCACTGGGTTCAAGCGATTCTCCTGCCTCAGCCTCCCAAGTAGCTGGGGCTCCAGGCACCCACCACCATGCCCTAAGTTATGTGCTTCCTTTTTGTTTTTGTTTTTTTGAGATGGAGTCTCGCTGTGTCGCCCAGGCTGGAGTGTAATGGTGCCATCTCGGCTCACTGCACCCTCCGCCTCCCGGGTTCAAGCGATTCTCCTGCCTCAGCCTCCCGAGTAGCTGGGATCACAGGCACATGCCACCACGCCCAGCTAATTTTGGTATTTTTAGTAGAGACAGGGTTTCTCCATGTTGGTCAGGCTGGTCTCGAACTCCTAATGTGGCGATCCGCCCGCCTCGGCCTCCCCAAGTGCTAGGATTACAGGCATGAGGCCCCGCACCCAGCTGCTTTATTTTTATTTCCTGTGAGGTGCCCTGGCATTCCTTGTTCACCAGCCAGGGGAGCTTTCAGGAATCCTGGGGTCCCCAGTGCCAGGGTCCTCAGGGTGGCTTCCTCCTGGAGCCTCGCTCCTGCTGGCCTCAGCCACGCCAGCACTGGCCTCTGCCCACAGCGTTGCAGGAAGAGGTCAGAGAACAGTAACAGCAGGCCCCGTGACATCCCTATCTCTGGCCCCAGGGCCCCAGCCCAAGCCCCGTGGCCCCACAGCTCAGCCCAGGAGCCCCACCCGCAGGGGCAGATGCCCCTGGCCCACGGAGGGCGGGAACCGGCTGGGGAGTCTGTTTGACAGACAGCGGTACCCATTCTCCTCCTCCCTGCTAGGCCTCCAGTGCCTGCCGCTGGTCTGCAGAACCAGGTTTGGGCATGGAGCTGGGGTCACTTAGAGAATAGTCAAGGTGAAGACAGGTGGCCCTGTCTGCGGGGTCTCCAGGTTCCTCCCACGCGCCGGCAGCTCTGCTCCCCTCTTCCATTCCTTTCTTTTTCTTTTTTTTTCTTTTTTTTTTTTTTTTTTTTTTTTTGAGACGGAGTTTCGCTCTTGTTACCCAGGCTGGAGTGCAATGGCGCGATCTCGGCTCACTGCAACCTCCGCCTCCTGGGTTCAGGCAATTCTCCTGCCTCAGCCTCCTGAGTAGCTGGGATTACAGGCACGCGCCACCACGCCCAGCTGGTTTTTTGTATTTTTAGTAGAGACGGGGTTTCACCATGTTGACCAGGATGGTCTCGAGCTCTCGACCTCGTGATCCACCCGCCTCGGCCTCCCAAAGTGCTGGGATTACAGGCTTGAGCCACCGCGCCCGGCCCCATTCCTTTTTTTTTCTTTTGAGACAGAGTCTTGCTCTGTTGCCAGGCCGGAGTGCAGTGGCATGATCTTGGCTCGCTGCAACCTCTGCCTCCCAGGTTCAAGCGATTCTTCTGCCTCAGCCTCCCAAGTAGCTAGAATTACAGGTGCATGCTGCCACACCTGGCTAATCTTTAGTACAGACAGGGTTTCACCATATTGGCCAGGCTGGTCTTGAACTCCTGACCTCATGATCTGTCTGCCTCAGCCTTCCACAGTGCTGGGATTGCAGGCGTGAGCCACCACACTGGCCTTTTTTCTTTCTTTTTTTTTTTTTTTTAGAGTAAGGGTCTCACTTTGTTGCCGGCGCTGGAGTGCAGTGGCACAATCTCAGCTCACTGCAACCTTCGCCTCCCAGGCTTAAGAGATTCTCCTGCCTCAGCCTCCCGAGTAGCTGGGATTACAGGTGCGCACCACCACACCTGGCCAATTTTTGTATTTTTAGTAGAGACGGGGTTTCACCATGTTGGCCAAGCTGGTCTCAAACTCCTCACCTCAAGTGTTTATGGGGAGACCATGCATACCCCCATGACAGCAGGCCACAGCGGGCAGGCTCCCGCCAAGGAACTGCATTCACAGTCAGATGGACAGCCCCCAGGAACACCATGGCCCCAGCACTTCGGGCCAGTGCCCCGCATGGGCCCAGATGCATTGTCCCCCCAAACCCTGCCCACCCAGACAGTGGCTCGTCTTTCTGGGCCTCAGACACTAAAGGGCTGACCATCGCCCTCTGGGGAAGGGATGCCATCCCCCCATTGTCCACCCGCGTGCAGGATGGAGGGCGACTTCCGTGCCTCTGAGGGGACCTGAACGGGCATTCCACCATCATGACATTCCATTTCTCACTGGCATCGGCGTGTCTGCCTCCATCTGCCCTGACGCCAGCGTGGCTGGTTCCTGCATTTTCCCCATCGCCCTGTGGATCCTGATACGGCCGCATGATTGATTTCTTCATTTCCACTGAAGAGTCTCCAGTTTCCTTCCAGGTTCTTGCCACCATAGACATAAACAGGACTATCTTTTTTTTAAAGATGAAGTCTTGCTCTGTCACCCAGGCTGGAGTGCAGTGACCCAATCTCGGCTCACTTCAACCTCTGCCTCCCAGGTTCAAGTGATTCTCCTGCCTCAGCCTTCCAAGTAGCTGGGATTACAGGCACACGCCACCACGCCTGGCTAATTTTGTATTTTCAGTAGAGACGGGGTTTCACCATGTTGGCCAGGCTGGTCTCAAACTCCCAGCCTCAGGTGATCCACGCATCTTGGCCTCCCACACTGCTGGGATGACAGGCGTGAGCCTCTGCGCCCGGCCAACAGCACTGTCATGTAAACAGAGTCCTTTGGGGCCCATTTTTCTGCAGCTCACGCAGGGTCGAAGCTCATTCTGGGTTACATAGGCCGCCGCCAGCTCACCCTGCAGGGAGGCTGGAACCCTTTCCCCCTGGCCTCGGCCCTGAGAGCACCCATCTCCCCAGATCTTCCCCAACGCCATGCTTTCTAGTTTTTGTCAAGCTGAGAAGGGCAAAATGGCCCCATGCGGATGTTTGGATAGCCCGTCCACAGTGACCAAGGGGGCGCTCGGACTCCAGACGCCGCATGAAGGCTTCTTCGATGAATGAGTCTGTCTTCTCGGGATTTCTGATGCCTCCTCAGGGTGACAGCCCCTGACTAACAGGACCAAGTCCAGGACCCCCCACGTGGAATTCAGGACCCTCTCCCCATGCCCTGTGCACGCTGACCTCACTCACCGTCTGAAATGACCTTGGAACCTCCAGTCCTTCTGCATAAACCCCATTCAAACTACAGGAACCAGCGCAAAACCCTGCTTCCCAAAAGATGTTCCACCAGACCACGGGAACGCGGAACCAAGGCAAAGTCAGCTTCTTGTCACACAAAAACCATGCACTTCCACGGGGTACAGAGCATTAAAGGGGCAGGTGCGGCACCCACCTGTACTTGCAGCGCTCTGGGAGGCCGAAGCCAAAGGATCGCTTGAACCCAGGAGGTCGAGGCTGCAGTGACCTGTGATCATGCCCTGCACTGCAGCCTGGGTGACAGAGCGAGACCGTAAAAATGACTATTTTTTTGAGATGGAGTCTCGCTCTGTCA